TAAACCAACATCCATTCCTACTCTCACACCCTGCCATTAAGTTACAAGTCATATTTCACTGACTTTTATTCTTCCCAAGAGGCTCCTTAAAGCCTCATACAATACACCACTGATGGCCAGACCTACCAAACTGTCAGACCTGCCCCAGTAGTGTCTCCCTCCTTAAAGTCAAATCCTATCTGAAAACAAACAGGCTCATAGTCATAAAGTAAACTGAAGGGGATTTTGTAAATCTTATTTTCTTTTTTTTTTTTAAAGATGACCGGTAAGGGGAAATCAACCCTTGGCTTGGTGTTGTCAACACCACGCTCAGCCAGTGAGCCAACCAGCCATCCCTATATAGAATCCGAACCCGTGGCCTTGGTGTTATAAGCACCACACTCTCCCAAGTGAGCCATGGGCCAGCCCCTGTAAATCTTATTTTCTAAAAGATAAACCTTCCCATCAGATTGGCAAAAATTTAAAAGTCTGACAATACTAAGTGCTACTGAGGATACAGAACTGTGGGAACTCTCCTACATGGCTGGTAAGAATGTTTAGTACAATAACTTTGGAGAACTATCTGGCAAACTTTAGTAAAATTGAAGATACATCCCATAATTCTATTCCTAGGTATATTTACTAGAGACGTTCTCACACACACATATATATACAAGGACATACATATAACAATGCTTTGACTGTTGGTGGGAATGTAAAATGGTACAGCTGCTATGGAAAACTGTATGGTGGTTACTCAAAAAACTAAAAGTTGAGTTACAGTATGGTCCAGCAATTCCTCTTTGGGGTATAGATCCAAAAAGATTTGAAAGCAGAGACTTGAACAGATATTTCTACACCCATGTTCACAGCAGCATTATTCACAACAGCCAACAGGTGGAAACAATCCAAGTGTCCATCAACAGATGAATGGATAAGAAAATGTGGTAAATACATACAATGGAATACTAGCCTTAAAAAAGAAAGAAATTCTGTCACATGCTACAAGATGGATGAACTTCATTTTGCTAAGTGAAATAGGCCAGTCACAAAAAGTAGACAAATATTGTATGATTCTACTTAAATGAGGTATCTAAATTAGTCAAACTCAGGCTGGCCAGTTAGCTTACTCGGTTAGAGCCTGGTGCTGATCACACCAACGTCAAGGGCTTGGATCCCCTTACCAGCCAGCTACAAAAAAAACCAAAACCAAAATAAATAAATAAAATAGTCAAACTCATGTAGACATAAAGTAGAACGATGGTTGCCAAGGGCTGGGGGGAGGGGGAAAAGGGGAGTTGTTCCATGTGTATAAAGTTTCAGTTTTACAACATGAAAAGTTCTACGGATCTGTTGCACAACAATGTGTATATAGTTAACACTATTAATTGCACACTTAAAAATGGTTAGGATGGGCCGGCCCATGGCTCACTCGGGAGAGTGTGGTGCTGATAACACCAAGGCCCCAGGTTCGGATCCCATATAGGGATGGCCGGTTCGCTCACTGCCTGAGTGTGGTGCTGACAACACCAAGTCAAGGGTTAAGATCCTCTTACCAGTCATCTTTAAAAAAAAAAAAAAAAAATTGGTTAGGATGGTAAATTTTATGTTATGTGTTTTTTACGATCAAAAATTTTTTTTTTTTTTCCTTTTTTTGTCTTTTTTCGTGTCCGGCAACGGATCGCAACCCTCAGTGTCGCGCCCGTACCGGACCGGGACCGGCAACGGGATCGCAACCCTCGGTGCTGCTCCCACACCTCGCTCAGCCAGTGAGCGGGAACCGGTCTGTATGTGGGATCCGAACCCTCGGTGGGAGCGCCACCACTGGGCCGGCCCTATGATCAAAAATTTAAAAAATTATTTTATTTTATTTTATTTTATTTTTTTTAAAAGATGATCAGTAAGGGGATCTTAACCCTTGACTTGGTGTTGTCAGCACCACGCTCACCCAGTGAGCGAACCAGCCATCCCTATATAGGATCCGAACCCACAGCCTTGGTGTTATCAGCACCGCACTCTCCCGAGTGAGCCACGGGCCGGCCCAAAAAAATTTTTTTAAATACCAAAAAAATTTTTTTAAAATATTTTTTTAGGGCTGGCCCCGTGGCAAACTTGGGAGAGTGCGGCGCTGGGAGTGCAGCGACGCTTCCGCCACGGGTTCAGATCCTATATAGGGATGGCTGGTGCGCTCACTGGCTGAGCGCGGTGTGGGCGACACCACACCAAGGGTTGTGATCCCCTTACCGGGCCCAAAAAATACAAAAAATATATATATATATTTTTTTAGGGCCGGCCCGTGGCTCACTCCGGAGAAGTGTGGTGCTGATAACACCAAGGCCACGGGTTCGGATCCCATATAGGGATGGCTGGTTAGCCCAATGGGTGAGCATGGTGATGACAACACCAAGTCAAGGGTTAAGATCCCCTTACCGGTCATCTTTTAAAAAAAAAAAAAATTTTTTTTTAGTGGCAGCTGGCCAGTATGGGGATCTGAACCCTTGGCTTTGGTGTTACCAACACCACATTCTAAGCAACTGAGCTAACTGGCCAGCCCGACAAAATAAGATAAAAAAATTTTTAAAAGCTTAAGCAAATTGGTGGTTATATGGCGTTTGTTATATTATCTCCAACTTTCATATACGTATGTAGTATTTCATAATAAAAACATTTTATAAAACAGTTATTTTTACCTCACCACTTTTTTTTTTCTGGTGGCTGGCCATACAGGGACCAAACCATGGACCTTGGTGTTATCAGCACCATGCTCTAACCAGCTGGGTAAACCATCCAGCCTGAGCATTTATCTTTTATTTTTTGGCTTCTGGCCAGTAAGGAAATCTGCCAAGCAGCTTCTTTTTAATGGACAGATTTCTGTAATTTTGAGGTCCAGTATGAAGACAGTACAGAATTTTGCTCTATGTTCGTTTGGGTATTCAATATCAAAGTTTCTAACTTGCTTGTAATAACTTAGGAGTCAGTGCCATAGTTGTGTTGAAATAGTCAAATGTGAAATATAAAGTAAAAGAAATGGCAACTCGATATTTACCTGTCACCCGATAATGTCAAGAAAACCATTGTAAACTTTTAATCGGAAAAATAGTTTTCTCACAGATTTTTATTAAAAGACATCTAGCCAAGTAAAATCACTTAGACTTTCAGAATCAATACCTCTTTCAAAGAAACTGGCTAGGCAAAAACCTATGGAGATTAAATACTGTACTGTCTTTTTGCTTTGTTTTTTAGTACCTACGGCCGTCATGAAGTTTATTTTTTTCCTCCAGTTGGACAAAAGAGAAAATTGCACTTTATTCATTGAACAAATACTTATTGAGCACTGTATGAAGTACCCGATTTTAGGAATCTCACCGTTCTATTCTTTGTTTACAAATTATCTTTTGTAATTTATTATGACAAATTATGTGTTACTACTAAAAGTTTCATTTATAAACAGACCATGAAAAATTCATCTTGTTCATTGTACTGGGGTAGCATACACCTTCCTTCTAAAAACATTTTGCTGCGTGGAGGTTACCAAATGACCTACTTTGGGAAAACATTAAACCAGGAAGCTATATGACTAACTTAGTGCTGGCAACTGCTAGAACCCCCAGTGAAGTCACCAACCCAGTCACGAGGTTTGCCTTCTAGCTCAATCTACTGATCAACACGTGTGACTCAGGAGAAGCTGCTGATGAACTCAGCCTCACGGATGGACAAACAAAAATAAAAATTCTTACTTTGTAAGATAAACACTTTATAAACTGATGTTTGAATTCACTCCCAAAATTATCTCCTATCTACTGCTTACTCAAGTCAGTAGCCAGTAGATCTTAGTTTTAGTCAAATTAACTTGAAGCTGTCTAAATGTTAATTCATCACACACCTCTCTACTGAGTTTCCTAATGTTATGCTCAGATATGGTGAAATGTAATGACTAGGGCCTCTTCTAAGTGATGTTCACCTAATTTATATGAATACGCACATTTCTAGACAACTTCCTCCTTTAGGAAGGTCGGTACCACATGAAAACAGCCATTTCGTGGTTGTTCACTCTCCCAGCCCCACTCACGCTCCTCGGGTCACCTGTGCGCGCCGCCTGCACAAGCGCGTCAAGGACAGAAGTACAGGTGCTTCCGTGTGGACGAATCCCCAGCCTCCTAGAGCGGGTTTTCAGCCCCCCTGATCCGAATTTCTCTTTCTTCCCAGCGGACGAGGAGAGAGGGGTGTGCAGTGTGCAGGCTTGCCGTAGAGCGGGGCCAGGCGTCCTTCAACCTGAGGCGGGACCTGCCGCTCTGGGCCCGGTCCCCGCAGAGGGTCCCCCCGTAGAGCCGTGAGGACAACTAAGACAAAGCAACACAGCGCATTCCGACTGCAGCAGCGTGATAAACGTTTGCTGCACGGCCCGCAGTCACCAAGAGCAAAACTGGAGACCGGCCGGCGTGAGGGGAAGAGGAAGGGGGAGGGGGGGACTATGCTTCACAGAACGCGGGAACGCGGGCTTTGGAGGCGGGGGCGAAAGACCTCCCTGCCCCCAACTACGACCGGAAATGCCCCTCTTCCCAGACGGCGCTCCTCTACGGCGCACGCGCACTTCGTTACTTAGCAACGTAAGCACTAAACCACCCCACCCAGGCAGCCCAGCAACAACCGAGCCGCCGCGTCCCCCACCAATCAGCGCCAGCCTCGCCTTCGCACGCCCCACCAATCAGCGCCGGCGCCGCAGGGAAGTTTCCAGAGCTTTCGAGTTAGGGCCCTTTAACTCAAATTCATCCGCCTGATAATTTTCCCACATTTTCGTAAAGGAGGAGAAGGAGCGCCTGGAGGGTAAGGGAGCTAATTCGTTAGGAGCCTTTTGTTCGGCTGTGAGGAATTTGGAACTCAGTCGAAAAGCCTAACGGCGTCGCGGGAGGGGAGGCCTGGCAAACTACTTTCAGCGGCGGACGGAGACGGCGGCTACGTAGGTTGTGATGTGTGACGCAACAGACGTTGCATAAATATCAGCCCCGCCGGAGCGGCGCATTCAGTGGTGCCTGGCTGCTGTGGTTGGGGTCGCTGTTGTTCTCTCGGGGGATCTCGACGTGACTGGTGACTCGCAGGACCTTGGCGCCCGCTGACAGGTAGTGGCCCGCAGCCTGGGAGGACTGGAGCACAGGGTATAAGTGAGAGCAGGCTGGCAGTTTCGTGGGTCTGGGTGGACCTCGGGGGAAGGGTTGGGGGAGGGGACGGCGAGGTGACGCGGCGCCGGGCCTTCCGGAAGAGCGGGTCTTGTTTACGTGAGGGGCGCGGGGGTGGCGGGCGCGCGCCGAAACAGATTAACGGCCACTTAAACGGTGGAATCGCGTTTTCTTCAGAGGGCGAGGGCGGCCGAGAGGTAGTCTTGTGTGACTTCTGGAAACGTTTCACTTCGAATCTCGCTGTGGGAAATGTGTCCCGCCTCTGTTGCAACGGGCATTTTTACTTTCCGGGTTTTGTGGGCTTGGTTTGGTTTTCATTTTACCTATCACTGTGCGTAGGTTTTGGGATAAACTCAAATATCCGAGGCAGGGAACAAAGCTTTAGATGCTAGTTTAGAAAGCACTTTAGATTCTCTAGGGGTTTAAGTCGAAATCTTTATTAACGAACTTTGTGTTCAGTGACTAAAGTCGAATAGAAAGGGGGGGGCTTGTCGGAGATGTTAGCGTGTTTTAAGGTGTTTGGAAGAATAGTTAACTGTTGGTTTTGACGAACTTATTAAATGTGAAAGTAAGAAATGGGAAGATTTTGAGATACATTGTTTTACTCTTTAAAATAGGTCAAAATGCAAATTTTCGTGAAGACTCTGACCGGCAAGACCATCACCCTGGAAGTGGAGCCCAGTGACACCATCGAGAATGTGAAGGCCAAGATCCAGGATAAAGAAGGCATCCCCCCTGACCAGCAGAGGCTCATCTTTGCAGGCAAGCAGCTGGAAGATGGCCGCACTCTTTCTGATTACAACATCCAGAAAGAGTCCACCTTGCACCTGGTGCTCCGTCTCAGAGGTGGGATGCAGATCTTCGTGAAGACCCTGACCGGCAAGACCATCACCCTGGAAGTGGAGCCCAGTGACACCATCGAGAATGTGAAGGCCAAGATCCAGGATAAAGAAGGCATCCCCCCTGACCAGCAGAGGCTCATCTTTGCAGGCAAGCAGCTGGAAGATGGCCGCACTCTTTCTGACTACAACATCCAGAAAGAGTCCACC